CTCATGATGGATTCATGTTGGGTCTTATAATATAACAACTTTTACCTACTTTTTGTAAAGTGTCTTGAGAAAACATTTGATTGATTGATTGATTGATTGATTGATTGATTGATTGATTGGTTGTTTTGGTTGATTGATTGATTGATTGATTGATTGATTGATTGATTGATTGATTGATTGATTGATTGATTGGTTGGTTGATTGATTGATTGATCGATTTATTGATAATCTGTATTTTGTTCATCAAATGCTTTTCCAGGGAGTAGAGGGAACAGGTCTGGCCTTCATTGTGTTTACAGAAGCCATCACCAAGATGCCTGGTTCTCCGGTTTGGTCTGTCCTCTTCTTCATCATGCTTTTCTGCTTGGGAGTCTCAAGCCTTTTCGGCAACATTGAGGGGGTTGTTGTCCCACTGAAAGACCTGAAATTGTTACCCCAAAAATGGCCACAAGAAGCACTAACTGGTATTAAGTTATTGTAGTTAAAATACTTTCCACAGTGACTCTGCAACCTTAAGTAGTTACCAGATTTCTGAATTTGTACTTTAACTAGTTCGTGTTCATCTGTGTTTCAGGATTAACATGTTTTATCGCCTTCATCATCTCCCTCCTGTTTGCTCAGCATTCAGGGCTATATTGGGTAACTCTCTTTGACAACTTTGCTGGATCTGTTCCACTTCTGACTATTGGATTGTTTGAGATGATAGCTGTTGCTTACATCTACGGCATGGACAGGTGAGTAAGGACACTGTTTTTGTCTAATGTGGTGTTGTTTTGTGTGTGTTTTTTTTGCCTAAATACTTTTGTTCAAGGTCAACTGTTATTGATATAAATATTAAATGTTATTGGTGTAAAGATTCTTAGATTCTTAAAAATGTAAAGATCTAACTGGAACGGTCCGCAGAGAGCTGGTGGGTAATAATGTTATACAAACCGGTCATGGGTCAGAATGGACTACAGCTTCTGCTTAAACTCTATTCACTGAGTTGAACCGGTGCCCCACTTAGGTTTTGCTTTGTTGTTAATGTGGCACCCTGGGTATTTTAGTAGCTAAGACTATGCCTGTGATTATTGGTTATCAGTTATATTATTACATTGGTGCCCCCCACATTGTCATAATTCAGTGTGCGTAACATTCATACTATGCTCAGTCCTCAGTCTAGCAAGACTCTTACATTGACCTTTTACTTCTCTCAAGAACCATGTTAGCCATTTCGCTTGGCAGTTAGTAGTAGATGACTTACAAGCAGAAAACAACAAGTGCCTTATGGGAGGCGATTAACAGTTGTCATGTGGACCTAAAATGAGGGGAAGACAACTTTCTAAAAGTCTGCCCTTCTGTACACTTTGTAGAAAAGAGATTAAGTACAAAAGCATCAAACAAATCTCAGCTGGTGATGTGGTGTGGCAAAACTTTTGCTGAGCTGCTCAAGCATTATCAAAAAGCAGCACAAGCAGACCGAATATTAAAGGCAGAAATTTGCAACATTTACACATATGGTCATTCCATGTAAATTTACATACAATGTGCAGCTACAAGCAAACTAAAGAACGCTACCATCAGTGCTGCTAACACAACAATGCAGCTTGAGACAAGGACTTAGAACACCGTACAGTTAGTTAAAATGGCTTTAATCGGCGCTTCCTTGGGGAATCAAATCTTTGGTCTTAATTGTAAACAGTAGCTTTCAAAGCACATAAAGTGAGATCTACCTATAAGATAACGTTTCACTTTTATATACACAACGTTCAAATGTTTGTACAGGGGGCCTAGTTTTTTTATGAAGCAATATAGATTTGAATGAATCATCTCTTAATTGTAGCCTAGGATTTGATATTGTCTTGTGAAGGAAGGTGAAGGTGTATCATTTAATAAGCTTATTGTATTTTTATTATTAACTATATTTCTGTCCCCTATGTGTGTCAAGTTGTCTCTGTAAAATAGATGACAGGTACTTTTCTAAAAAGTCAAAGAGTGTACTCTAACCTAAATCAAACCTTCTTGTGTGGCAGGTTTAATGAAGACGTAGAGTTCATGATTGGTTATAAACCCTCCTTCTTCTGGCAGGCTTCACTGAGGTTCACGAGCCCTCTGATCGTTGTGGTTATTTTAGCTTTCTACCTGGTTACTCTAGGCCAAGAAGAGCTCACTTACTTAGTCTGGGATCCAGAATCTGTGAGTTCACAAGCCCACTGAATGAATCTGTGTTCATATAAAAATTTTTTTTTTTCATTTTAGTAATTGTTGATATTAAAGCATACAGTGGAGATAAATAACATGGTCTTTTTGTTTAACAGGAGAAGTTTCCAGCTCTGGCATCAGTACCTTACCCTTCGTGGATCAATGCTGCTATCTTTCTTTTGGCAGGAGTCCCCAGTCTGGTAATGCCTGGGTATGCACTTTGTAGGCTGGTCTATGTGAGCTGCAAAAACAGAATCCAGGGGAACAATTAGACAAATTCCTTAAATCAATTATAAAAAATCTTTAATGAAGAACTCAAATTCTAGGATATATAAATCTCCACTTTTTAAAAATATGTTTTTTTTTATATATCCCATTCTTCTTAAGCTTTGTTTGTCCATCTGGGCAGGCTACATTTTATACTTTTCAAGAAGGTTTTCGCACATCCAACTATCTCATAAAGTAGGTGCGGAGAGTGACAAACTATTACTTTTATGATTCAAGCCCGTCTCCCTGCTCTCTGCTGGTCTGCTCTCCTCCATACTGGAGGCTCCTGGTTACTTGCCTGCATTTGCATATAAGACAGACATTGACTTTCACATTTTTTAAAGTATGAAATGTATTACTTGAAAAGATAAATCACAACTTTTCAGTCCCTCTGAACACACTTGACAACGGTTCAGAGAGACTGAAACGTTGTGATTTTTTAATAAATTGGTGATACTTATCAAGAGTAGTATGCGGTAGTATTTTCTTATGTATGTGTATGAGATAGTAGTCAGCCACTGTGCCTTTGTGACAAGCTACCAAAGAGCAGAAACAAAGCTACTCAATACATACCAACAGTCCAATTCTTTCTGATACATCCTCATGCAACTCATAGTCTGAGAGGTTTTTAAAAATGCATGGACGAATCTTCTCTACACCCACTTGGATGTGCATTGATCTTTCACCAGACATTCCGACATTATTTCTCCATTTTCCCCTTTAAAAGTTTATTTTTCATGTGTTTTTATAAATGATTAATCTTTGCAGACTTTTTTTTGCATATTTAAAAATGAACCTGAATGGGCCCTCAATTACTACAAAAGAGTGTTTTTTATTCTGAAGTCCATACTACTTCTCAGGGAATGTTTAATTGAATTGATGCACACGTTCCTTTTATCGATACTGTGTGTAATTTCATTGTTAAACTCTGATGAATTTGTTTTGTGTATTTCAAGACTGTTTTCTAGTTTTAGTCTATACTGGAGTTATTGACAAGTCATATTTTATATCAATGTAGCTTGGTTGTTAATATTAAATGTTTTTGTTTAAATTGATTCTCGGTTGTTTTCATTGAGCGTATGTAACCATGCACAAAGTCATTAAAGCCAGGAGATCAATTCTAACAGAGCATAACATATTGGGTGGGAAAGATTTCGTGCAAGTGATAAAGGAATTTGTATGTCTGTTTAAAAAAAAATGTTGCTTTAGGACTGTTTTCTGACCCAGAACCAGCGTACCAGACTCGTACACATTGTGTGCTGTCTCTTCAGTCGATTTAATGTTCTCGTAACTCAAGTTGCTGCTATACTTTCCATCCACAGAGCACTTTGATGGATGCAACAGTGGGATTTGTAGTTTTTTCAGCACAACATATTGGGTGGAAAAAATTTCATGCAAGTGATATGGGAATTTGTATTGATTAAAAAAAACATGCAACGTGTTGATTTCTTATGTGTAGAAGTGTTGCTCGTATCCAGCTCTCTCCTCTTCTTCTAGTGTTTGTGCCACACTAACTGCCTTACTGGCTCAAGCTTCACTTTTGTTGATCATCTCTCTACTAGAGGTTACATTGAAAATAAACCCTATAGCTCCAGACGAGGTTGTGTGGTTTTACCAGGCCAGAAATGTTGCTTACACACTCAGATATTTACACTGCAGCTAGTCATTTCTTGAGAAATATCAGTGTGACTTTCAATATATGCAGACATTGCTTATAAAAAAAAAAACGAGACAACAAAAATCCAATGCAGCTTCATCAGATCTGGATACTGTTCTATAAAGATTTTCTAAAACCACAAAAAAAAGTCTTAAGGTGATTCCGTTTAGTACTGGAGCAACTGTTTTAGCTTTGCTGTCCTAAGTGTCCTTATAATTGTAAACCCTACTGTACAAGGCATGTGAAGTATCATGTATTTTATAAAACCTTTAAGATGAAGAAATCCTAGATTTAGACCTGCACCAACACTGAACCCTCATCAACGCTCCTCTCTCAAAAAGGAGAACTCCAAGTCAATACAACACCAGTAGGTGGCAGAAACAGACAACGTTTTGAAATAGTATCTGAGAGTAAAGACGAATCAATGATAATGTTGATATAACTGAATGAGTTTATTTTTCAGGCATTTAATAAATAGAATTTCATAGATCAGAGGCCCAACAAATGTTGGAAGGCATCACTTACATGTATAGAAAAAAAATTAGACACTCATCTTACCTGCATGGCTTTGGAGTGGAGCATCTGAGGGAACACCAGAGGCATGAAACAATAGGAAAAACCCACCGACCATCCCTGTGATTGCATCCGATTCATAACATTAAAAAGAATGATTCTGACTGAAACGTAAAGGCATGAATTTCATTGTTCAGTATAAGCATAACGCTTACAATGTTTTAATTTTTCAAATATCTACATCATTTCTCTCTCAAACGCCTCAAAGTGGGATTGTTAATCAGTAGCAGGAGGCCCAAACAGATAGAACCTGACAAAACATATCCTGCTACACTTTACTTATCCCACTAGACCATGCATAATTTTAGGGTCAAATAATTCCTGTAAGGCTTTCTTGTAGTAACATCAATATAAAACATTACTGAAGAGTTTGTTGATCAATTGAGAAATAAATAAAAGTGTTCATTCTGAAAAAGGGGAATATCAATAAAAATGCTCACGATGCTACCTCCCTGACAGCTTCATCGTGAATTTATTTTTTTTTCTTTCAATTGTTTTCATACTTACAAAATGTCTTTCAGGTTAGAATATTTTGCATCGATGTGCATTTCCTTATATGGACTTGAGCTTATAAAGCGTTTTTCTAGTCTTCTGACTACTCGAAGCGCCTTTCAACAGCATCTCACACCTATCCGTTCACACACTGATGGTAGAGGTTTCTATGTAAAGTGTCCATCAGAAGTAACTAATCCATTCATACACATTCATACGCTGCTGACGAAAGCGCGGGAGCAACTCAGAGTTTAGTTTCTTGCCCAAGAACACATCAACAAGTGGCTGTAGAAGCTAAGGATCGAACCGCCAACCTTCTGTCAAAGGTCAAATGTATAACATAGTTTTCATTTACTTTTCTTTTCTTTTACAGGTTAATAACAAACATAAAAACAAATACATGAATGCAGTCTCATCATTTATGTGCGACTTACTGATTAGACCAGGGATGGGCAACTTTGGTCAAATTGTAGGATACAAAAACGATAATAGTCAATTACGTCTTAAATTCAACTCAACATGTACCAGTGATCAAATATTATTATGGACATATATCTGGTTTTCATGATTTAATGGCAGATTTTGTCATGTTTTCTTCATGTTTCCAATTAATTGATATGTAAAAATTGACCTGAGGGCCACATTGAGGGTTGACGGGGGCCTCATGTGGCCCCCGGGCCGGCAGTTGCCCACCCCTGGATTAGACCATATTCCCAAGGCAGCTATGTTGTAGTGACGTCATGCTCAAACTAAAATGTTGTTATAGCATCTGTTAAATTCCAGGTTGTAAATGTTACAAATCTGAGCAAATATTTCCTTATGTAGCTTCCCGATCGATAAGAAACTACAGAAACAATGTACGTATATTGAAAATACGGAGAGGCCATATTGTATAAGTTAAAATAAATATTCAATAACCCTTAAAGGGGTCATATTCTGCTTTTTCTGGTTTTATATGCTCTTTAATGTTTTTTCCAAGTGTCCTGTGCATGTTTAGGCACATCTATGTGCAAAAATTCAAAGTCCCGTGGAAACGCGGCTTCGCCTACGTCCTCCTGTTAGCTGTAGCATTAGCTGCATGTAACGCTCCGTCCTAGCCCCCCTTGAAAAAAATTTGCCAATGTGACGTCTTATCAGTGTGATATCACTGATCTAAGCCCATTGGCTCGTTGTGGCAAGCCCAGCAGCTCATGTTGCACACCCATTAACTTCTGTAGCACGCCCACGATATGCCGTAGCCTGCAGTAGCACAGTAGTGCTAAGGTGCTAATGTTTTTTTTGTTTACCCTCGGAGCCAAAGTGGCTGCATTCCCAATATGGTAAAAGGGGCGTGACATTTCCAAGAACCGTGCTGAGCAACTGACCAATTACGGCCGACAGGCCGACCAATCAGATCAGACTTGGCACACGTGGGGACTCTGAACGTGGGCACTTCAGAGCCTTAGAGAGAGAGTCAGAAGCGAGCCGGTGCATGGAGCAGCAGTACATGAAAACAGACACTTTTTTCGAACTTTAGCTATTGTGAACATACTTTAGTAGGTACATAGATTAAATATACGAACCCCAAACAGGGCATTATATGACCTCTTTAAGTGATCATTAGTTACCATCACAACACAGCTAATGTTGACATTCAGCTGCTTCCTTATGAACAGTTTTGTTTGAGAGTCCCAGATATGATATGAAAGGCAATTACATTTTATTCTTATTAATGTTTGCACAAGGAAATTGATTATTTAATTAGCTGGATTCTTGAAGAAATGTACGAATATTGAACGGTTGATTTTCAATTTATGTTCGCTAGTCAAAAACACAATGTTTACTGCACAGTGTTGGCAGACCCTGGTGTTCTTGCACTCATCGGGTTCAGAAGTCTATGTATCCTCTTTTAATACTTAAGGGATCCTAGCAAATTCATCAGCTCATTTGAAGTTGGGAAATAGGCATTACAATCGATGATAAAGTTTCTTATCTATTGTATTTATTTATTGTCCATTCTATGTTGTATGGTGATCGTGGGCTGTATGTAGGCCTATGTATGTATTTTACTGCTGACTGCAAAACAAATCGCCCTCTCGCAGGAATAATAAAGACAACCTTAAACACTTGAACCTTGAAAGATTATGATAATGCTCAATTTTTAAATATCATATGGGAGCATACTGGTCATACTAAACCACCCCACAATGCATTGCAGTTTTTCAGCCAGCCAGCCAACATGCCGCTTACAAAAAACTAACCGCTGTGGTAAAGAAACATCTTCAGATAACTAAGGAGCTGTTTAACCCACTGAACATGTTTTTATTGTTGTTAAATTATATTATGCAGCACAATGGTGGAGCTAGCTTAGTGCTAGCTAATTTAACAAAGGTCAGACCCGAATTACCTGATTGACAGAGACTTGTGACATTGAGAGGACAGGATGTGGTTTAGTATGTTGTATGCATGTCATACTAACTGTCAGGTTGCTATGCAGCATGCAATATGCAATTTATACAGTTGAGTATGTAGTAAGCAGTACATTAGTTTGAAGTTTCGGACACAACCTATGACTCGCGCTTACACTGACCTGACATTGGGTAGGCTACCATGTAGGTAGCAGACCAAACGGAGCTAAACTAGCATCAATTTGCACTAACAAAATCAAAAAATCTTCAAAGCCATTTTAAATTTGGTCAGCATATTTACAAAACATAACAGAACATCTTAGAATACTTCTTACAAAAAAATGCATTCAATATTCTCTTTTTTTTTTTCACCTGAATAAGGGGAATATCAACAAAGACAGACAATCCTTCCTATCAGACAGCTTCATCAAGAAGGAAATACCAAGAGAACGCTCCCTTCTGGCCTCAACAGCAATGATAGTCATTTACCAGCATCATCTCTGATAAGACTTTCCTGGTAGGCAACTGTAAATCATACTGTACAACTGTACCAGGAAGGTAAACTTACATGTACAGAGTGATTAACCTGAAAAAGTGTTTTGACTTCTTCAACAGAACATTTATTAAAGGGATACTTCACCTGTTGAAACATGAATCTGTATTGACATTGGGTCATATATGTAGTAGAAATGTGAAATAAATTTTGAAGTTGGTGCTTACTTCTTGGCCGAGAAAAGGCAGAAAGTGTCTTTTTGGCTTATGTTGATGAAAGACACCAAATCCCAGAATGCACAGCATCACAGGTCACTCCCACTAAGGTCCTCTAGTTCAGAATCAGAAATACTTTATTAATCCCAGAGGGAAATTCGATTGATACAGTTTCTCCAAAATACACAATATAGCAGTAGAAATATAGTCCTAAAAACATTTACAGACATATTTACTTCAACACATGAGGCCGTTTCCTCAACTGATTCCAAAATTTCTTCCAGAATTGATCTTGGAAATTCCTGGCAGAAAACAGACTCTATGTCTGTGTCCATAGGCAAACAGTGAGCGCACAGACACTACCAGTCCGCCCCAGCTCGAGCCGGCCCCGGCTTCTCGTCCTCACCGCCACCGACAGGCAGGCCTTGTGTCTCTGCTGATGATCTAGCAGCGGCCAGTGGCGGCAATATAGCCGCGAGACGGTTGCTGCCAACAGGCCTGTCTTGTGTCGCGGAGCCCGGCCTCCGGGCTTGTGGAGGCGGGGCTCCCTGCGGCCGGGCTCGCGGCGGCTGAGCTTCCGGGGGCCGGGCTTGCGGCGGGGCTCCCAGCAAGCAGCCATCTCGCCGCTATATTTATATTTTTTCGCCATTATCAGCTTTCTCCATAGAGCCTGTTAGCATAGCTTCCAAGCAATATGGCGTTTCGATTCTGGGAGTTCCCACCCACTGATCTGTGATAGGTCTGTAGCTTCAGTGGTCGAAAATATGAGGAACTAACGTTGTAGTTTCACCCTGCTATCCGCAACAGCTTCCAGCGACGCAAAATCGTCATTTTGCATCACTGGAAGCTCCTTTCCAGACTACAAAGATTTCCCATCTCAGGGGAAAATGAGGACGGGATGCACGACCATTCAAAAATACTACCAGGTTTCTAATGATACAAAGCTTAATGCAAATGGGTGAAGTATCCCTTTAAACATGTTTAACCTTTCATACATTTTAACAATTGTTTCAATGACACATTTTATAAAGACTTTGCTTTTTTGTTTCTGCAACTATTTTTTTTGTCTTTTTTCTTATTTATTGATTTTTTTTACTACTGATCATTTTTATTTTGGTGATAAATTCCACCTATCACAAAAGCAACAAAAATACAGCAACAGATTTCAATTTAATTCATAATATTTTTCTATAATCATTGACAATAACAACCACACATTTTACTGTAATTTGACTTCACACAAAGATTAAAAAAAATCTGATTAGACTTTCTGGAATCAATGTAAAGAAAAACTTTCCTGCCTGCATTTACTGTTTCTTTGAAGTGTGTTCTTCTCACTATCTCAAATACACTCTATGTTAAATTGCAAAGAACAAACTATAAACTTGTATGGTTGTAGTTCTATCAACATCTGAAAAGTTCTTATTAGGTCAGTGTAACATTGAAACATCACACTGTTATCCATTATGTAAGTCATATGACACTCCCATTTTAAATGAGCAGGGAGGTTTTATCACTAAATTATCGTGGGTGAAGTTTTCACTCCCTTCTTGGTGGCCTGGTTTCTTTTTTTTGTGTGGTGGGGGTGTGGGGACACACACATAAAATCAGTATCTCTGACTAGAAGCTGCATCCCATTGGATGTTAAAGGACAGCCCACAAAAAAAGGGGAAAAGAGGATGAGAGAGGAGAACTGGACATCACAAAGACTAAACCGTTTAAGGCAGCTCTTATTTATAAACTCAGTTTAGGTAGTTAGGGAACTCAGGACTAGACTGAAATAATACTACTTATCAGGATCATTAGCTGCATCCTTGTAAAAGAACCAAGGCCTTTTATTTGGTTGGAATGGCAAAAACTAAAGACTCTAAGGTGGAGGAGAGACCCAAGTGGGACAACAAGGTTCAGTACATGTTGACGTGTATTGGCTTTGCAGTGGGACTTGGAAATGTCTGGCGTTTTCCTTACCTGTGCCAAATCTATGGAGGAGGTGAGATGCTATTTTATTATGCTTTTATATGAGCCGCGTTATGTTTCCCGCAGTTTAATTGAAGTTGATCGGTTTATTAGTTTTCACTGTAAGTCTTATTTTTTCTGTCTTCTGTATGGAGTCATGAGATACTTCAATCTTATCCGAAATGTAATTGCAAAACCACTTGTCAAAGTTTAAGCATTAACAAATGAACTAAGCCAGTCATAGTCACTGTGCTGGAAATGGTGAGCCTTATCTGTATTTCATGGATTACAGTGGAAATCAATGATGGACGTTTTTTGTTCAACAGCCACACTTCTTGTATTTACTTCCTCATAGTTTCCAGTAAGATATCCAAAAGTCACAAAAACACAGACACCTAACCTGGATCAGGGTTAAGTCAACAGCCAAAGCTCTAAATGTGCAAACGGTGTGTCAACATGACATATTAAGTCCTAGATTCCTGATTCCGACAGGTTGTTACCCTCAGCATAGCCTCTGTTTGACCTCGGCTTAGTTCCCTACAGTCCTGGATCTTTGTTATCTGAGTTAATTGAGGGTAACTAAACCCCATATTTTCAGTTGTAGTGCTCTACCCTGGAATTAAAAAAAATGCATTTAGAATGTCAATGTACCAACTTGGAGAAAGGGGGGGGGGGGGGGACTCCCCCACTCACTCCTTTCGCGCCGTTATCAGCGCACACACACTTGACTCCCCACACCACAGTTCGCCGAGTCGGGTGACGAGGCTTTTATAGGTTTGGTGACGTGGGGCTGCACTCCTACGTCATACTGTACGCTACACAGCCGTTAGAGTGTTTCAAACTGAAGGGCAGACACTATGCACATTTCTAACACAATATTTCAAATTTCAATACTTTGTACTCAAATGTCGAGATTGGGACTTGGATTGAGCCATAACACTACTTAATACTCAAATACAGAGGTTTATAGTTAAAAAAAAAAGTGGTTTTAGGGTTTAGTTACTCTTTAAGTGGTGTTTTAACTAATTTTTAAGATGGATGGATGGGTGGAAGAACTTGTGCTTATTGCAACTTGAGTAAACACCGTCTAATCTGGTCTTTGTCTCACTGGGAGGTACAGTCAATGTTTAATTTGTGTCTTCAGGTGCATTCCTCATCCCCTACCTGATAGCGCTGGTGTTTGAGGGCCTCCCATTGCTCTACCTGGAGTTGGCCATAGGACAGCGACTCCGCAAGGGCAGCATTGGTGTCTGGAACTCCATCTCACCACTTCTGGGTGGAGTCGGTGTGTGGTCATGAATTTGAATGAATTTCTATTGAAATGTTTATTCGCCAGATTTCTTTTGACTATGTTTCCCCTCTCGGTGCAGGAATTGCCTCCATGTTGGTGTCATTTCTGGTGGGTATTTTCTACAACACCATCCTGGCGTGGGTGCTTTGGTACTTTTTCCATTCTTTCCAAAACCCTTTGCCATGGAGCCAGTGTCCACTCAATGATA